TCAAATCTAACCGATCGGCAACTGAGTTATCGTAAGGTTCTGAATCCATTCCCAGAAACAGAACCCTTTTGAGTATTTATTACATAGTGCAACATTAGCGGGCTTTACACAGACACTCTATCGCGCGTGACACTGCAATCGTGCGCGATTAAAGACGTTGGAAGGAAAAAGGAAAGACCGCGCGATTGCGCTCTTCAGTCTTTAAGTACAAGGTAGGACATGGTATTCCAGCTGTATTCCACAACTCGACATCGCCACGCTTATTCTACGCACGACGCCCACTGGCGCCATTGCAGGGCATTCTTCGATATCCCTACATGATAGGCGCACATTGACGTTAATATATCGGTATCCATAGGCATGGCGAAATCTACCGTCGCGCATTGTGCTCGCGTTTACCTTTCATTTTGATCAGTTGTAATTATTAAAAATTCTTCAAATCTTCTATAACGTAACAGTACATTTTCCTGTTAATTTTGTATGTATTTCAAGTATTTCAAGTCTATCTTTATTTTTGTTAATTATAGAGAGTGTTAATTATTTGCTACACCCTAACGAGGTATTTGTACTTAGTAATTACCTATGTAATGCCTGTACTAACATTGTTTACAATAAATAAATAAACGTGAAGCCGAAGCATGCCGTAGGCTTCCGAGGTATTCCTGAGGCTGCCGGCTCGGTATCCTTAAGCTTACCGCAGCTTTGTTTCCGCGACCATTATTATTGAAATTTCAACTATAACGTCATAACCTTTAAGGTATATTACTATTCGTCACTTGAAAATCCCCAGCCCTGACGTCCCGTCATCGGGTGCCGGGCGTTACATACAAAATTTATACTCATTTCATGTCAGTGTAAGGAAAACTTATAACAAGCAGTAAGATCACACCTTCCATCTAACTAACTATTACCCTTTAGTTGCCTTCTACCAAATCTACAGTACAGTAAATTTCGGCTGCCAATCAAGTACATAACTAGTCGCTTGCCTGTTCTTTTCTGTACATATGCTAGACAAATACATCTGGCTAATTGCAATCGAAGAACGTTTTGTTATCGGGTTTCTCATCTATTACCCTCTGTTTCCAATTTCCAGCATCATTTGTTATGCGAACACCGCCCTTTAATTTGCATGCAATTAGAAAGACTTTTCCTTTACTTATAGGAAAACTTCTCTCTTTTCGCTGCTCTAGTTTCGTCTCTTAAACGGCTCCATTATTTTGTTTATTTACGTAAGAAAGAGGAAACTCGTTCCCCTTCGGGTTACTACGTTCACGTGTCACTTGTCTTTCTTTATGAAAGTCTTTTGAAAGTGTTACATTTCTTATTTCTATCATATTTAGCATTACAGTTAGAATTGAACTTAGCATTATTACATTTTTTAAAAGTGGCTACAGATTTGCTCGATTATTTGTTTGACGATCGACAGGTGTGATCAAACAAAACGAGTAAATTAATAAGTAACAAACGATTGATTTTTTGTCGATCAACATATGTGATCAAAAATCGAGTAAATGCGTTCGAAGCAAACGATCGATATCATATTTATTTATTTATACCTGCTCCGTGTGGAGGTATTGTATTAAATCTTCCAAAGTTCCAAGTAGCGTTACTATAAAACACTTAAACACTGCCTGAAAATCTTAACTTAGGCACTTTGTAGAGGTACTAAACTAATTCAAGTGGTAACCAAGCTTTAATTAGGCAGCACTTATCTACAAATTGCATGAAGTGGTGTCACGTGTCCCAAAGTGTTCTTTCGCAACACTGCGCACTGCTTTGAAACTACTAGACTTTAAAAGGCGCCATTGTACGAGTAAAGTTGGTAAATGCTCTGCATTTTGCGTAGGAAATTGTAGACTGCAACAAATTGTCCGCATAATTCGTGTTACACGGACAAGTTTTCCTTGGCGCTACTGTTTATGGCAAGAGGAGATACTTTTATGCAGATAGCTTTCTGAAAAAAAAAATGTTTCTAGAAACCGGACTGAAGTTTTTAGATACTTGTGTTGAATTTCGCTGCATAAAGTGGCAAATTGTTCCTCTTCAGATTGACTCTCGTAACTAAAATTAGACAGTATTTAGGGTTTGATTTTGCATTTTGTTCTGTAACTCGTAGCATTCTCGTTATATTGAAACTAAAAAAAAAGAAACTAAAAACTTTCGTCTTATTTTATATTTTGAACGAGATAGTACTTTATTGTTCAAGTCAAGAAAATTTGACCACACGATGTTAATGCTGGCTAAATATGGCCACCAATAAACTGTAAAAAAATTATTTTTCTGATCTAAATCACGTATTTTTGTTTTTTAAACAAACAAACGAAATTAGCTTACGGAACAACCCAGAACACCCAAAACCAGGAATCGAACTCGGAACATCGTCGTTCAACACCCACAGTACAAACCGTTGGGCCACTCGTCATCAACATATGTATAAAATGAGGTTAATGACAAATAACTCGTCAAAAGAGAATTTTCAGATTTTTTTTACACGCGTCAAATGAAAACAAAGAGGTTAAATCCCGAATTGGCCGAATTTTTTTACCGTAGGCACTAAAAAGAGGATTTTAAAGGGTTCTCGTTATCGCGGGGGTCCGCACGCGACATGAAATTAAATAACTACCTTTACCTGATTGTTGGTTTTCGGGTCAGCTTTTATTTTTACCTTCTTTTATTCAACTTTGTTTTGGCATTGTAATCTTTAACTATTCTGTGAAGTCAATGGGGAATAGATTGCAATAGTCACTGATTTATGTGGTAAAAAGTAGTCTGCGAAATAGCCTGCAAAAATATATATTTCCGCCTAACTTTCTTATCTTAAAGTTTTAATACGCAGTTATCCAAATCCAATGGTAATCAAGAATGTAGGCTTATAAGCTTATCTTTACCATTATAATATATATTTATATAGTTAACATTACTATGGTTCGATATTTCGTGGAAGAAAGATAAAGTTCGCGTAAAAGCCAAGCCACAAAGTTCAGAAGTCGTCTTCTAAACTTTGTGGCCTGACTGTTAAAACAAATATATATAAATGTTTCTAACTTTTTTATTTTTATAACTATGTTTACGTAAAGAAGCCATTTTTCGAATAACAAACCATCGAGTAGACACATCGAAGTAGCGTGAATATTGAACCCATCTACATCAATAACTCATTTTTAATAAAAATTAACGCCCTTTCTTCGCCGGGATATGGGTATATTGAATTTCAAAATGTGTGGTACATTTACACCTTCCTATTATCAAATTTCAATCACGTCTACACTTGTCTCTGGAATACATAATGATGTTTACGCACCAGCTAAAATTGCGCGCCAAAAGCCAAATTGAATAGAACTTAAGAGCTTTGAGGTCTCAGAGGATGGATAAAGGATAGGGGGAGGGAGTTATAGTAGATATAACTCAAAGGTGGGTATGGAAAGGAACGACTTCTCTGACAGCGCATTTTTCATATTCCTGCTATTCCGGGCCACTGAAAAGCTTCGTCTACGTTTTCTTTTATATTTTTGACACTCGAGGTATATCACGGATTTTTTGAAAAGTGTTCTTACCTTTTTTAAACTTACTTGAAATCTTTTCTTGTGTGATGATGGCGGCGTACTAGGAATATAATATGTATTTCGAATTTTACGCAGCAATACATTTGTGAGTATAATAAAATTGAATTAGTTTTTCATTTGAGTCAGTGTGCTAGAGCAATATGTAAGTTACGACTTATGGGTTTGTATTAGGAATTCTCCGCAATATGAAATCTCTCTCTCGGCGGCCTAAAGTATAATGTTTATTTTAGATATTGGAAATCTATCGTTGGATTTAAACTTACCCAATGGGATGAGAAACGGACCGACATAAGGTAAAGTAAATAATTTAATATGGGCACATTTCAATCGTTGAGTTAATTGACTCAAAAATTTTTTTTTTATATCTTTCATTGCAGTCAAATGACTCTCTTATATTTTGTTGTTTGTTTGATATATATCGGTTAAAAATAGAATATTTCATTTTTTAACCGCCTTCAAAAAAGGAGGAGGTTCTCCATTCGACTGCATGCTTTTTTTTGTGTGTATGTTAGGCGATAATTTCTGAACCGATTTTAATGATTCTTTTTTTGTTGGAATAACAGTACCTCAGTAGTGGTGCCATTTAAATTTGAAAAAAGAAATATTCCACCTATAAGGGTGGCAAACTAGGGGATGAATGACTTTTGAGATCGGATTTTTTAGTACTACTTATATACCGAGATTATTGAGTCAGTTGAATCACATTTTTTCTGTTTGCCTGTGATGGATGCAGTAGACATTTTTTATGGGATATTTAGATTGTTCTTCACGGTTGTGCTTTATGAAATTCAATGTTGACTAGGTTTTTTGAACTAATGGGCTTTTTTAGAATATGGATTCATTTGGAAAACACCCACGCAGCATGTACGGTTATATGGAAACCAATGCCATTCCACACTCACTTATTTTTTTACGTAACTCTGAATCTAGCATTTTTCGGTTTATACAATATATTTGATGACCTCAGTGGCTTGGCGGTTAGCACTGTGGGCACGAGATGAAGCGGTCTCGGTTATATTACCGGTGGGACCATCTTGGGAAATGAAATGGTTCTGGTCTGAGCATTCTGAATAGTGTCCCGAAGTTAATATTATATCTTTGGTACAAACAATATAGGGATGTTTTGTTTGAGATCAGATTATTGGTGTAGTTATCAAGCACGTCATTGTTATTATTATTTTGGTTATCTATTTTAGGCTCTTGCCCGAGGCTTTAAAGATACATTTTGAATTTTGAAATGGGAGAAGCGGTATTCTCCGACAATGGTACAACCGGTTGAGATCAGATATTTAGATCCAGGAACCGGCGAAAAGCTACAAAAAACTAATTAAAAAATGGAAACAATGAACTGTCGTACCTGCCGTCGCAATTTTGTAAAATGAAATTTTACTTGTAAAATTTATAGATTTACTAACTTATAAGTAAAATTCTACGAACCTGTACCAAGTCGCCATGGATACCTCCAGCCGCTGTGATGGTCAGTAGGCACACGTAGGGCACCAGATCTTCCCTCGGTCGATGGAGCTCCAGCTCGTACGTCCGACCGATATCACCGTAGTAAGTTCTGTTACATTCTGTTGACAAGAAAACGCCTCTTGAATACTGAACAATAAAGGATCGAAAATGTTCGTTAAGAATTAAAAAGAGAGAAGTTTTATTAGCAGTAGAGGTCCTTGTGAAAGAACTCGTCTAGGAAAGTACTTCCACCTTACCTGTTTCTGCCGCCAAGCAGTATTGTGAGCATTACTGCGATCCGGTTTGGAAGGGCTAAGAGTGCTGGTGAAATACAGGCACTTGACTGGGACTTATCAACTTATGTATCAGTGCCTCCATGATCTTTGCGATTTAAATCTCGACGACAACAGGCGCACGACTTGTTCACCCCGTCACTTATTATTATAAAAAAAAACTATTTTTTCGGATATATCACGTAATCACGTATATTTATTTTTTCAAAACACCAGCATTTCGGGTCTTTTACAGGTCACATGGTCACGGCTGACCATGGGATACGTCATATGTCACATGGTATTATATAAAAAATAAAAAGAATGTATCGAGTTCTTAGGTTTTCGCGATTGTTACACATAGGAAATGAAACTATTTCTCCGGATTTAAATCGCGTTATTACAAACAAACCAAGACATTTCGGGCTCTTTACAGGTCCCATGGTCACGGTTGACTGGAAAAGAATATACCTATACCTACATCAAAATCACTAATTATATGTTTCTTACCACGGTATGATTACTTTTAATTGTCTCGATATCATAGTACTAATAATAATAAATAAACACATAGATAATCGTACCGTAGTACGAAACCTGTAAGTAATTAGTGATAATCTTTTTTTTATGATACCTAGTAACGGGACTAACATGTCGTGCGCTTTGTGGTAAGCGACGCGCCTGTCCATAACTATTTTTCCGGATTTAAATCGCGTTGTAGTGCCACTCAGAGCTTTAAATCGCAAAGATCTGAGGGGCACTGCCACTGCGCCCGTCACCCTGAGACATAAGTTAACAACTCCCACGTGCTACAGGCACTTGGGAGTTGTCGAGTTGGGAGTTTGCGCCCGTTGCCATGAAATGTAAAAATTATCCTTTAAAACCGGAACGCAATAATACTCGCAATACTGCGTGGCGGCAGAAATTACCTACATATTTCTGCCCCTAAGCAGTATTGCGAGGTGGCAGTACTTCCCTGGACGAACTCTTTCACTTTCTACTGCTACTTAATCATTTATTGAATAATTACAATCTATTAAAATGTCTTCGGTTCATAAACTCATAAAATCATAATGTTTACTCATTCGTCCGGCAGAATCTACTTTCACTTGTTTGATTTAGTAGCATAATATTTATGAAAATATTATAATTCTATAATAATAAAGTTTATTTTCCCCCAAATAGAAGAAATATAATTATTCTCTAACGTTAAGCTGTGTTTGAAACATTATTTGCCCAACTTATATAACTCGATCGAATAAAATTCAATGAAGTTTTGTTTTCACTTTGCTTGGTTCTAAGTTTATTTCATAACTTTATGTTAACTTAAAACAGCCTTTATTAGGAAAATATTTTTTAACAAAGCAAACAATCTGATATAACAATCTGATACAGTCAGTTAAGATACGAGATTCAATTATTTTTTTTGATTATATTTCATTAGGAAAGTTTATTATGAAGTTTGTAGTTAAGTAGTAACATCGGCCATACATATATACACCTGCTACATTTGCATCTTACCACTTCTTGTTCTTATGGTATTGACAAGATACGATAAATCAATTAATAACGTAAAATAAATAACGCAAACACATATGGCCTCGCACTAGGGAAACCATAAACCCTGTACCACGGGAGCCACGCGCGCACACATAGGAAGACAACCACAATTTACACCCAAACTCACGAGAGAAATAAATGTAGGCCATACAAATATTTCTTCCGGCCCAGAAGTCGAACCCGGGACCTGTGCGTGGCAGTCCAGCATGGTAACTGTTCGGCCACGGGAGCGATAAGCATACAACAAGACAAGATACATGATCGATGACATATATGATCGAGAATCTAGTCGCGCTGACTTGTAGCCGCCATTAAATCCCCAAGCATGCAATTATTAGTCACCGCGCAAACAATCTAGGTTAGAACTGAACAAATTGTCCTTGTTTTGGCTAACCTGATTACGAAGCCTATTCAAAAATTTCAGATTAAGCATGGCAATATCTTGCTGGTATAGACAGCGTTTATGCCACTCAACTAGATATGGTTTCCGTATACTTTTTGCTCTTGTTCCATTCGTACCTAATGTTGCCTTAAATCGGTCTTGGTCTTGTTCTTATATTTTTGCAAGGGCAAGATCAAGACATGTTTTATTGACGCCAGATCGAGACAAGTCCTGGGGTTAGTCTCCACTTGCTCTTGCGTTGGGTGATACTAATAGTGTAAGTTTTCCAAACATGCCTAATACTGGGAACTCTAGGTACCTATTCTGGCCTTTAACACAAAACAGTGAAACATGCAAAAAAGATTTAAAAAATGAATAATAAAACATTTTTTACATATTTCCAAATACATGCTTACGAAACAATGATTGCGAAGACCGATTTGCACTGTGGACGCTGGATAACGAGGTCCCGGGCTCGTTTACCAGTAAGACCGACTTAAGAAATTTACTTTTGAAATTGGATTCGGTCTTAGTGGTCTGGGAAGTGTACAGGAGTAAATAAATATAATATATTATGTGTTGCGTACGTACATTCAAATTGTATTGTGTCCTCATTATAGTTAAATATTATCTACAATACAAGATTATGTATTGAGATTGATATGAACACAATGGAATAGTTTTTTTTAATAATATCTAGTGACGGGACGAACGAGTCGTGCGCCTTACGGGAAGCTAGACGCCTGTCCATAACAGTTACAGTGCCACTCAGATCTTTAAATTGCAAAGATCTGAGGGGCACTGCCACTGCGCCCGTCAGCCTGAGACATGAATTGACAAGTCCCATGTGCCTGTACTTTCACCAGTACTTTTACCCTTCAAAATCGGACCACAGTAATGCTGACATTATTACTGCTTGGCGGCAGAAATAGGTAAGGTGGCAGTACTACCTTGAACAAAGTCTTTTACAAGGAGCTCTACTGCTGCTATATATGGATTATATGTCTTATAATAAAAAATGAATGAAGAACTGCAACACTCAAATAGGTAAACCTTTCTATGATTAAGAGTACTAAGAATGTAAAACAATTATAAGTTTCATTGTTAACATCAATAAAAAAGGAGATTTTGAGACCAGGTAATTGGTATGATTATGTAAAAAAAAACATAATTATGTTAAATAAACCTATATACCCAGAGGTAACTTAGAAGCACGTATATTTTACGAATGTACACAAGAAAACAGCGCAATCCTTGTTCCGCCACCCACATCATTTGTCCACGTACAAAATACCATTCTCGCTCTCCATATATGTACATAATGACAAACAACATTCTAAGAGAAATATTTGCTGTTTAGTTCTGAGCAAACGAGACGTATTCAGACAAAGAGAAGTTCTAGCCGTAGATGTAACTTGGGCATATACGGGAACTTTAGGCTACGATTGAGCTTTCAAGTTGATTGCTATTATTACACGTACACGTACAACTTTTCTAATTGGAACCTGTGTATACTGCTTTTAGGTTATTTTTATAATTATACATTTTTCATTTGTTTTTAACCCGACGCAAAAAGTCAGGAGCAGTGATCGTTAATTTACCTAAAGTATTAACGTTTTCTTAGTATGCACATTGCACATATCTATTTCGTGATATGACTAAAAACATCCCGGTATGCACATTACTATATCAATGCTTCAAGCGACGTCACGCTGCTACGCTCCGAGCGACGTCACGCAGCTACATTACTACAACCGACAAGGCACTCAACTGGCTTCTACGCTGGACATTTTAATACAGTGTGCCACGAAATTACTATTTTGCTTTTTTTTTATTCTCTGAACGATGCCCAGGGTACGACACTCGCCACCGATTTCTCCTGCAGCTGATAATAACCAGTCAGCGGTGTTTGTCAACTCGAACACGCGGAATAAAAATAAAATAGCCACTTCCACAACCAGGGATTCGGAACGTGAGCAATTGTCACCTATTTTGGCAGCGATTGAGGGCCTCCGCGAGGACATGAACGCGAAATTCAATGTGCAGCAGGATAACTTCGACCAATTCAAGATTGCTTTGTCGCAACTTCGCACCGAAGTTACAGACATAAACAATAAATTCACGTTATTCCGAAAGGAGTTTGATGAAAAATCGATTGCTATCGACTTTCTCTCTGGATGCCAGGATGAACAGGTGGCAATCAACACTGAATTTAGACAGAAATTTAAAAAGCTGGAAGCCTTCAACTTACCCTTACAGAATACTGTGTCGGAGCTGACTTCGAGGGTAGCCCAAATGGAACAGCACTCCAGAGATTGCAACATCGAGGTACAATGTGTTCCTTTCCGGAACACATGAAGCAAGAGCGAGAACTTACTAACCATGGTGGACCAACTTTTACGTACCGTGTCGTGTGAGCTTCCTGAGTTAAGCATCCGAACAACACATCGTGTGGCTAAACTACAGCCCAATTCTGATCGTCCTCGCAGCATTGTGGTAAAGATGGCAACTCCCCAGACTCGTGACGCTGTCCTAGCGGCAGTTGTGAAATTCAATAAGTCAAAAAAGTGTACAGAAGACAAACTAAATGCTGCCCATCTTGGTTTTGCTTACAAACAACCTGTGTATGTGTCGGAGCATCTAACCATTGCCAATAAAAAGCTGCACGCCGCCACAAGAACTGCTGCGAAGAATAAGGGCTATGAGTATGTTTGGATCCGCAATAGTCGCATTTTTGTTCGGAAGAATAATGAAAGCCCATCCATGATTGTCAGGAACGAAGATTTTTTAAAAACACTAAGTTAAACGTTTTTTTATATGTATTTATTAAATTAATTTTAGCATGCTTGTTAGATAAATTATTTTAAATTCAATCTTAAAATATA